TGGGGGGGGGGGGGAAGGCCTCCTCCTCCTCCTCCTCCTCCTCCTCCTCCTCCTCCTCCTCCTCGCCCTTCCCTTTCCTCCCCACCTGCAGTGGAAACCCAAGCCAAGAAGCACCCTGCTTGCCTCCAGGGTGCCCTGTGTTTCTTGGGTTTCGATGGTCTTCCGGAATGGAAAGCGTGACGTTCCCACACCAGGAAGCACTGGACGTCCTGGGGGCTCAGGGTTGGGTTTCTTGCGGAAGGTTTCTCGTGGTCGAGCTCCAATTGCAGGGGGAGGGGAGAAGGTTTCTTAGAAGCACCCCTACCTCTCAGACGGCGCACGCCTCGTCTATAGACGCAGGACCGGCGCCTTCTACGAAGCAGGGGTAGCCTTCCCCCGTCCGCCTGCCCCCATGTGTGCGCCGCAAACAGCTGGAGGGTCGTCGGCGTCGTCGTGTTTGGCGCGGTCGCCGTCGTCGAGCCGCGCGCCATGAAGGAAGCGAGTCTTGAGGGACGCGTGTCCGGAGTCGTGTTCGCCGCTCTCGGGCTCGCCCAGGGCTCTCCACTTGTGGCCTGGGGCCGTCGGGCAGCGGCTCTGGGCGAGGAGCTGGTCGTGGGGGAAGGCGCCCTCCTCAGCGTCAACCTGTCGGCCTCAACCTTTCATTACTGTGAGGTCACAAGATTGTGGGACTGGTTTGCTGGCACGCGTTTGTCGCGCCGACGGTTGGTTGGGGCGCATTTGGCGTCGCCACTCTGCTTTCGGTTGCCAAGTCGGCGCGCGTTTCGCGCCTCGGCTCGCGGTTGGCGAAAGCGCTTGGCGTGTCGGCTGCCTCGATGTTTTGTCATTGACCTGCTCCATGCGTGGTGTAGAAGCTGAGGCGTGAACTCAAACAGGTGTGCCTTGGGAGGGGCCGAGACAGTCCAGGGTGCCGCCAAGATAAGACGAAGGCGGCCATCGTAGGTCGCCGAGGCAGTCCAGGATACGAACCTCTCGACGGCCCCAGTGCCAGGAGAGGCCTGGGAAAGCCCCTGGACAACCCCGCGTTGGCATTGACCTGAGTCGGCGCTTCCCCAACCAAAGGACCAAAAGGAGCGCGTTTCTTTTCCTCCAGCGATATCGCCCGTTTTTTCTGGGGAGGGGGGGCTGTACGTCACGATTTGCGCCCACGGAGGGTTGGGGGAGGGGCCCGATAACGGCGGGGCTGGGAATGGTTTGGGACGACGACGACGACGCACGACGTCGTCCAGAGGCTTCCGGAGGTTTCCCGGTAGTGTGTACACAGGCATTGTGGTGATTGGTGGTGCACATAAACGTTGAGGCGTTATGGTGCACACTTTCTGTTGCAGCAGCATCTGTGGTGCACACAGGTGTTTTGATATACACAGGCGTTGTGGTGAACACAGGTGCTGTGGTGCACACGGCTGCTGCGTTGTACATAGGCATTGTGGTGTACACAGGGGTTGTGGTGCGCACACCTGCTGGTGCAGCAGCGTCGGTGGTGTATACAATCACGCTAGTGTACAGACATTGTTTTTCACAACAGCCTTGTGCTGTACTCAGACGCTGTGGTGTGTACACAGGTGCCGTGGTGCACACAGATGCTGCAGCGCTTATTGTGCACACAAGCACCAGCGTGTACACAGGCGCTGAGGTGCACACAGGCTGCGTGGTTTACGCATGCACGGTGCGCCCCCCAAATTGGGGGGTGGGGGGAGGGGAGCCGTACCTTGGGCCAGAGAGGCTAAGAATCACAAACAATTCTCCGGTTGAACTTGATACGGTCGAACTCCCCACGATTTTCCAGAATCTGGCCCCGTCGGGACCCTAATTGTTTAAACAGGATTGGTGACATGCGCAGACGCTGTGGTGTACAGGCTCTGTGGTACACACGTGGTGCCGAAGGCAGCAGCAGCAGTGGTGCACGCGGGCGATGTGTTTTGCACAAGCAGTGTGGTGCAGACAGGCGCTGTGGTGTACACGGCTGCTGTGGTGTACACATGCACTATCTACAGATATCGACGGTCTGGGCGAGGCTGCTATTCAGTCGCGAACCGCCCATTCCTTCCAAGCCTTCTCCCTGGAAAGTAAGGGTGTGCAAGGCTTGTTCCCAACCCGACAGGTTGGGGTTGTTAGACTTGAGAAGAGACCTTCCGACCCGCCCGCCCTGCATACCGCTGCCGACAGATCCCCAGAATCTCTTGTGGACCGCCGCATATCAGAACCTGGTGCAAGAGAACAGAACCATAACTCAACATGACACAACAGAGCACAATAGAGTTTCATTCAATAATGTAGAAGAGTACAGACCGTAGCAAACCTTAGCAAACCAGTTCAGGTCTTCATGCAAAAAAACAGTAGACTGTATAACATAGTATGCCATAGCGTAACAGAACAGACTGGCCAACCTTTCAATCGATATTATTTCAAATAACGACCGAACATAACAGAACACATCATTTCTGAACGTATTGTACCATACAACGTAAACATAGAAGGGGGTAACCGAAACCATAAGAAAACCTTGATGATTGTGAACTACTATTACAAGGGGCTAGAGACTAGAACAAAGCGTAACATATTTGGTGACGCATCCAACGTGACAGGCGCCATGACGTCACGACAGCCCGTCGCGAACATCACATACCAAAACATATTATGGTTTTATACACTAGGCCTTGCGTACACTACCACGTACTTGAATATCCAAGAATGCAGCAGCGACCCAATGACGGCGTCCTCTCAAATGTAACATGCGTGTCGACGTAAGTTCGTGACAGAACATCATAGACGATACGACGAGAAACCATGCGATAGCTTAACACAAGTTAATGTAGTTTTGTAGTTATCAAGATCTAGCAGAGGTCATCACATAATTGGTGACGTATCAAACGCGACAGGCGTCATGGCGTCACGCTGGCCCGTCGAGAACATAATACATCATAACGAAATATATTATACTAGGGCAAAACTGGACATAACATTATACAGTATAGCGCAATTGTGAATTAAACATCCCGTGGCTACACACAAGCGTTCCACGTTCACCCCATCGCGCATTCCAGGCGTTACGGCGCTCCACGCTGGCCCCGCAATGCCCAATACGCACCCAAAAAAGTTTCGGCGGGGATTGCTCGAAGCGGAATCACTGCTAGCTGTTGTATGCGGGAGACCCGGAGTGTGGCCGGAAGAACACGTTTCGTGGCTTTGGTTATGCAGTGGCCCGTGAAATCCGTCTGCTCACGGATGGAGGCCTTGCGCAAACGATGTTCGTACATCGGGAAGAATCATTGGAAATCAGGATTGCTCATCCATGTGTTTGCGTTTCCGTTCGTCTCGAGGCCCCAGGGGCCTCGCCCCAGGCGCGGTCCCCGCGCGGACTCGTCCCGACGGAGGGACAGAACCTAGCGCGACAGGCCACTGCACGTGGAATTTCTGCAAGCTTTTGGTCCACGTCTCCAGGGACAGTCCGAGCGCCGCGGGGTCGTCGCCGCCGTCATCGCCGTCGCTGCCCTCGTCGCCGTGGCAGCTGTCGCCGCCGTCGCTGCATGGCTCTGCTGTGGAGATGAGCGCTGGCCGAGGACGGGGTCATCATTGTCGCTGGCGTGGGAAAAAATGCACGTGCGAGCCAAAGCAGCGCAATTTGCAGTGGTTTCCTTCGCGCCGTCTGCGGCGCGTGACGACGCAACACGACACAACGAACGGCGTACTGCCGCGGAGGTTAGCCGCATGCGTGTACGCGTGTGCACGTGCACACTCTGAGTCGGGGGGGGAGCGGCCCGACTTTGTGACTCGCCGGGGCGCAGGACGAGCCCAGCCCGCCGGCGCCGGAGCCGGAGCTGCGGAGAAGGATGCGCGAGGTGCGCCGGAGAATGGCCAGCGACCCCGCCGGCTACGCGTGGTTGCACTCTCACATCTCGGGGAGGCGTTTGTGGCCACGGTCTCCAGGCCACGACTGCCACACCGGCCTTGGCCAGGCCCATCCTGCTTCCAGGGTCGGTGTAGATCATCCTTTTTGTCGGAGCCGGGAGGGTGTGTGCAGCGTTCTTGGGCTCAGGATGAGCTCGGCCAGTATCGGTGTACATGCGTAGCGGAGCGGCAGGCCCCGAATTTCGGCCTCCAGTCTGGAAGCATTGACCCCCCGGTTCCGCATTTCCGACCCTGGCCTTTCGCATCTGTACGTGCAGTTCTGGCCCGCGTGCCGATTTGTTTATCGGTTTCGAGCTCCCCCAAAGCCATCTCTCAGCATCGACCCCCGTGCCCGAAATCTTTGGCCATGATCAGGCTGGGGAATGTCCGGCGGCTTTTGTTTAGCATCTTCGTGCAACAAATCCTTGAGGTGCTTTAGCTCCGACGCGGCCTTTTGAGATCGGAAGCTCAGCACGCCTTGCCGCATAATGCCTCCCTGAGCTGAGCCGGCTTGCCAATCATGCAGGCGGACGAGGCGCTGGAATCGCGGTGGGGCACGAGCGATTTTCCCCAACCAGACGCCGCCTCAGACCGCATCAGCAGTGCGCAATCGATTGGCAGAGGAGAATATTCTTCCCCAGCCAGTGCTAGGTCTGCGCCTGAAGGATTCTTACTCCTATCCAGCTGAGAGCGGCAAACCCCGCCACCGTGCCAGCACGGCATCGATATGCATGCAGGATGGCTCTAACGATGACATCCTAACAGGCTTGACATAATCATCTTGGGGTGCATGCGACGTTGTAGCGTGGCGCGCGCGTAACGTTGCATGGCTTCTGCGTTGTTCAATGGGGGCTTATTGCAGGCCTCTTTCGGGGCATCTGGAGTGCTTCTTGGACGCCAGCGGGGGGTCGTGGGACCAACTCGCTCGCTATGGTTATACAAAGTTTTCCCGAAGATGCTCTGTAGAGCGGCAGAACCATCTGGGGTCGTCTGGTCGGGTTTGGGGGCCACCTTGCAGCGCTCTTGGCCGTCAAGGGCTGCCGCGGGGTGGTCCTGAGCCGTCTTAGGACTCCCCTAGGGGATTTGGCCCTTCTGAGGTCGTCGTGCGGCTTTCTGGAGCCTTCCCGATCCCAACTTGGGCCGGAAAGCAGGCCCAGACCAATTCCTTGGAATCCTCTCGGGTGTTTCCTGGCGTCCCTCCGGGCCTGTTGGGAGCATCTCGAGGCCAGCGGGGGGTCTCCGAGCCAGCGGTCTTGGGCCGGTCTTCAGGGATGTTGGGCGGCCGCCCTGGGGTGGTCCTCGGCCCTGTCTTCGGGGCTGCCCAGAGCGCCTGAGAACAGCACGTGAGGCGTTGCGGAAAGGGCCGCGCCTTCGAGGACCGCAGGAATCGGAGGTTGATAGACCTCCCTACCTACCTTCACTCGTCGATGAGCGAATTGGCCGTTCTCGGTTCGCGAGAGGGCATCGCGGCCGTCCTCTTTGCGGGTCCAGGTCCGTCGGTTTCGGTCCTACACCGCTTTCACTCAATAGAGGTTTACTAAAGGGAGGTTTGTGACAAACCTTACTACACGGGAGGTTACTAAAGGGAGGTTCACTAAAGGGAGATTTACTAAAGGGAGGCTTGCCCACCGCCGAGAAAGGAGTTGGCATCCCTCTTCCTCGGCGGAAGGCGGCGGAAGGCAAGCGGACGTAAAAGGTGCGCCCCCGAGAGGCGGCATCGGCCACACGCAGGGGTGGCCTCTCGCTGGAGAGTGGCCTCTGGTGCGGGCACACAGGGGCTCCTTCGGTAGCAAAGCATGGGAGCCTGGTGCACCCCTTTGATGGTGTCTTCAGCGTCGACCAGCGTCGGTCAGCGCCTGGGAGTCGATGGGAGAGCGCCGACTTAGCGTCGATCTAGCGCCGACTTAGCGTCGATCTGGCGTCGATTAGCGCCGACGAGCGTCGACTCGCAAGAGCCGACAAGATGGCATGCGAGGCTCCCAGGAGTTGCCACCCCAGGCTCCCGGACGACCGCCACTGCGCTGCGACGGCAGCGCCCTGCGCGCCCCGGCTCGGCCTCGGCCCACGGCAGCCCCCGCAGCCTTGCGCTCCAGAGGTGTCGCTCTTGCCGAGGGCCTCGCTCTCTCGCGCACGCCACGGTCGGACCGAGGCGGGAGAGAGCGAGGTCGGCTCGGGGCGAGAGCAGCCTCGTGCCTGCGTCGTGCCTGCTGGGTGCTCTGGTGCCTCTCCTGCGGGAGGGCTCCCCCGTGGCTGCTCGGCTCGTGTGGGCCGGCGGAGGGCCTCGCGTTCTCGAGGGCCGCTCTTCTGACCCACGGCTCCGGCGGTAGCCGATGGCCCACGAGGCGGGGCGGCGAGCTCCTGGGCGAGGGGCGGCGCTCCCCGAGAGACAGAGAGAGGCTCGCGCGTCGCACGCATCACAGGGGCTGGGCCGAAGCGCTGTGCCGTTGGACTTCGGCCGTGTGCTGTTTTTAGTTTCCTGGCAGGGAGGCACAGGAGAACGGGTAGGGCAGAACGAAAAACAGCGTTTAGGTCCAGCCCTGGAGAGAGGGCCGGCAGGCGTTCTGTGACGTCCGGGCGTGCCGTCGGCACGGGGGCGGATATCGGGCAGGTCGTGTCTGGGCTGCGGATTCTCGTGCGGCCCAGCGGCGCGCCCCGGTCCCTGACGAGGAGAGAGTGAGAGAGAGAGAGAGAGCGAGAGAGAGAGAGAGGACAGACAAAGAAAAGAGAGATCGAGAGGGAGAGAGAGGCGAAGAGGCGGAGATGGAGAGAAAGAGAGAGAGAGAGAGCAACACAGAAATGTACAGAAACGGACAGACAGACGGGCAGGCAGGCAGGCAGGGAGGCAGGCAGGCAGACAGACTCACTTTTTTCGTCGGCGGCTAGGCAGAGTCACTGCGCTGGCGAGGAAGCAACGAGACAGACAGACACACGGCGACGCAGCCAACAATAGGGCATTGATGCGGACGCTGCTCAAGGTCGGAGCTTGGATAACAGGTAGTCACTACTCTGGCATATCTCTTCCGTCTGGAGAGAGGCGTTCGGCCACGTGATCGATTGGCACATTGGATCCCAGCGTCATCGAGTCGATGTGGTGTCGCACTGAGGGAACGATGAGATCTGGGCAGAAGTGACGAAGGGGTTGGCACGCATTGTGATCGTAAGCATCTCTTCTGAGCAGACGCGATCCGCGCAATCGCCTCATGAGCATTAGCAGTCTTCTGAAGACTGACGGCGAGTCCGATTTTTCCTGGGCACGGATGCTGGATCGACTGTGCAGAGGAGAAGGAGGCCATGGAACCAAGGACGCCACGGTGCTGTGGCCGCACAAGAGCATCAGCGAACACCGCAGCATGCCGTTCGAGACGCGGTCGGCCAAGCCCAACAACGATGAACGGGCCAAGCTGTCAACTGAGGAGATCGGGAGCCCGAGAATGCGCGCCCCCAGTATTGTGTCCTCCCCTATGCGAGAAGAGGCGAAGAGGAGGGGGAAGGAAGGAGGGGTAATTCATTGAGGTAGAGTGGTTGCGCGCATCAAGGAACTGTTTGGTCTTCATCGGGGTACGCTGGCTTCTTGGGTCCGATGAGGCTTGTAGCGAGAACCGCAGGATTCACAGAACATGTATCCGCTGGAATCCCTGCCTTTCATGATCTGGGGTCCTTTTCATACAGGTTTCTAGTGGCCGAAGTCCTACCCTGAGGGTCCAAAACCTCGGCTTTGAAGGGCGAGCTTCCACTCTGGATCGGAAAAGCTTCCATGAAGACGGACGAAACGCCCCAGACAAGAAATCGAGCCTCCATTTTGGAGGTTTCGATTCTCTGGGTACTGCGCTGGCGGTACACATCTCCCGAAGGACAAGGGCAAGGCGCCAGATGCGAGCTACCCAGCCGGACCTCGGGTGCAGGCTCGGGCGAACAGGGACCGCCTGGAGGCGCTCTGGAGGTTGAGCGCCTCCCACGGCATCTCGTGGGACGAGCTCGACGCGGAGTTCGTCAGATGGGCGCGAGAAGGCATTCGAGAGGAGGAGGAGGAAGGGGAGGAGGAGGAAGAGAAGGAGGACACTGACCGGTGTAAACCTAAGACGCATCAGCGATGTTGCAATAAACCCTCCCAAGTTCCCTCTTCGTAGCGCCCTACAAGAATTGATTTTCCTTGCGGGAAAAGCCCCATTGGAAAACAAACGCTTGAGAATCCTCAAACGTGCCAGAAGCACCATTCCTGGAGCGTCAGCATCGCGAGTCAACGTGACTGTTGCGTCTAGACAGTCCAAAACCGTGCCAGAACACCATTCCTGGGACATGAACACCGCGAATCAACATGAATGTTGCGTCTTGAGAATCCTAAGTCTTGCCAGAAAACCATTCCTGGGACTTCGACCATGCGAATCTCTGAAACTGTCACAAAATTTTGATGCTATTGAGCACGGCACTAAGACGAGAGCCAAAGCTTGAAACGTAAGCAGCCTTCATCCGTGAAGTTGCTGCAAACTTTCAAGACGAATGTGCGCGGCGCGAAGGCTATAAAAACATGTTGAGAACGACACGCATTCCATTCGTGAAACTTTTGTAATAGTTCAAGACGAATGTTTGCAGCGCTCAGGACAGAGCCACGTTTTCGAACCAGCCCGCCCTACATCCATGGAGCTGTTGCAAATGTCAACCTTCAGGGGCATACATGGTGAGGCAGTCTCAGGCGAAACGCCCGGCCCGCCCTACCAACACGTCTGGGATTGCGGCAGGGAGGACTTCGTTATTCCGATTCATATTTCCCACCCCCACCCCCTAACGAATTTGACTCTCCGGGCCTCCAGGCAACCCTTCAGAGGACCCGGGAGAACCTCATGAGAGCCCGACGACGGCCCCAGATGGGTTCCAGGCGTTCCAGCGCGCTCCCGAAACGACCCCAGAGAGCCCCAATACGGTCCACGACGACCCCCAAGAAGCCGTCATACCCCTAAAGATCGCTCCAAAACGTCCCAAGAGGCCTCCAAGAGCACTCCCCAGAAGGCTCCAAGAGGCAAACATCATGTAGTTTCTTTCGGTTTTTTGGTGAATTTTGGAGTTCTCCTCTTTTCGGCTTCCTGACGCTCCAAGACGGCGGTCTTCTGGGCGTCCGAAGCCGCTTGGTAGGCTCCAAAATCACCCCATAACCATCCGAAAGGGCTTCCAGGCAGTCCAAGAGAGCCCCAAAACGGCACAACAGGGGTCCAAGATGGCTCTAAGAGAGCCCCATGGCGGCCCAAGATGGCCCCAAGACACCCTCCGAAGCATTCCAAATCGTGACCCGGTCGTTCAGGGCGACCGCGGTTGGAAGCAGGGTGGCCCGAGGAAGCCCCCAGAGGCTCCCAGAACACGCCCAGGAGGCCTCCAGAAGGCTTTAAGAAAGTTTGAACAACTGTTATGAGGCCCCCAGAGGCTCTCCAAGGAGGAGCCTCCGCAAAAAGAGCTGAGGAAGATGGGAAGCATGTGCAGGGTATGGCCATAATGAGGAAACAGAAGCATGGAGGAAGGATAACGAATAACAGTATTATAACGGCGATGCCAGAAAAGGCAACAAGGAGTTACAGCTAAATTGTCGGCTTGACCTCCTTGCATTCCGCCTGCATACCAAATTGTTGACGCTTCGCGAATCCCCACCAGCCCATCCAGAAACGATGCCCAGAGGAATTGCCTCGATCAGGGAAGCGGGCAGCACACAGAGGAAGGGTCCCCCAGTGGAGACTTTTTGGAGCGTCTTGGGGGCCTCTTGGCGGTCCCGGACGCCTCTTAGAGCGTCTTGGGTGCCTCGGAGAGCTTCGTGCGGTGGTGTACGAGCTGGAAGAGGCCGCATGCCGACATCTGGAAGCGGATTTGGCACAAGGCCAAGAACCTGGACTTGGACGTCGGGTGCGTGAAGCACGTGAAGGCGCACAGGTCCAAGACAAAGATCGAGCAGTTGCAGGGCGATGACCAGAAGATTGCGAAGGGCAACAGCGAGGTGGACCTGCTGGCAAAGGCAGGGGCAGAGATGGACGCCAACTTCGGTAAGCACCAGGCGCTGGAGGACCTTGCTGTACGAGTACGGTGGGCGCTTCAGAACTTGGGGTGGTGGTATCAGAAGATGGCGGGTGAGTGGCCAGACGTCCCCAAGCGCGAGAAAGGAGTACCACGACGGCGTGTTGCGAAGCCACAGATCGTGCTCACCAAGCACGAGGTCGTGGAGAAGGACGGCTGGCAGGTATGTAAGAGGTGCGGGCTACGAGCTGCTACACGACGGATGCGCAAGAAGCTGTGGCAGGCGGAGTGCATCAAGCCGAGCTGGAAACCGACAGGGGCGAGCAGTTCAGGAGCGGGGAGTTCACTGGAGGCCAGCGTGGCCATTGCCGCTGCGGCCGCTGAGGTGGCCGCTGGAGGTGCTGGTGGGCGCTCGGAGCCCGAAGACGACGCTGAAAGAGAAGCACGTGGACGGCCACACAGTGCAGAGGTCCACGGGCCGTGGGTGGTGTGTGTGGTATGTGGAGCGCATTCGGCGAGGAGGCGGGCACGGCTGGGTGTGGCGTGCCCAGGGCCCTTGCAGCGCCGAGGAAGGTCGAGCAAGGACGACGCGAAGCGCAAGAAGAGGGACAGGATCTTGGATGGGAAACGCCCAAAGACAGGGAAACCGCTGGGCCAGGGGCTTGATCTACCAGTGCTGCGTGGGTAGCACTCCGAACGAGACGGCACAGCCGCGCTTGTTCTACTATGCGAACATGGTGAACAAGTTGGTGCTGGAGAGGGGCTCCAGCTGAGCAGTCCAGCCAGGCCTGAGGGTATGCCGCCGTGTGCGGCGAACGGGCCTCGTTGCGGGTTTCCGCTGGAGGTTTTGGTGAGTATAAAAAGCCTCTTGGAGGCTTCTTGGGCGCCTGTTGGGGCCTCCTGGACGCCTCTTGGGGCCCTCTTGAAGCGCTCTTGGGAGCGCTCTTGGAGTCCTCTTGGGCCATCTTGGAGCCATCGTGAGGCCTCGGCGGGAAAGCCACACGCATGGATTGCCCCAAGGTTTTGGAAGGATGTTGGCCTCCTCGGGGCCTCCTGGGGGAGCTCGCTGGCCACTTGGAACCGTTTTGGAGCGATCTTGGAGCCTCTTGGAGCATCGCGGGCACCATCTTGAGGCATTTTGGGATATATTGAGCCATCTTGGGGATCAGATTTGGCTCTCCCAGGCGCTCTTGGAGTCATCTGAAGCACTGCCCCCCCCCCCAGGAGGCCAAACTGTTGCCAACATTTTAGTAAAATCAGCGATGTGGGCATTGTCGCCGGGGCCTCTTGGAACGTCTTGGGTGCCTCTGGGGGGCCTCTTGGACGTCTATTGAGGGTCTCTTGGGAGCCTCTTGGGACATCCTGGGTGCCTCCTGGGGGCCTCTTGGGGCGTCCTGGCCACCTCTGGAGCCCTCTTGGGGCACCCTTGGTAGCCTTGGGGGCCAACTTTGGGCCATCTTGGGTGATATCGATCACAGGAGGGGGTGCGTTTAATTAGCCCCCGCCCCCCCTCGGGAGGCCAAAATGGAGCCTAGACCTTAGTAAAACCAATGATGTTGGCTTCCTCGCCGAGGCCGTGTTGGATGCTCCGACACCTCGCGGAACCCCTTTGCCCAGGTCCATGGGGAGGGGTAGGGGGAGGGGTAAACCCCTCCCCGAAGGGGAACAAGGAGGGGTGGAAGAGGAAACGCTCTAAACCACCGACGCCCAGAGGGCAGGTGGGATTTCAAAGACCAAGGTGCATGGCGCGAAACGCCACTGCAGTCTCGCGCGCACATATATATATATATATATATATATGTGTACAAACATGTAAGGAAGAACGATGGAGGAGGAGGAGGAGGAGGAGGAGGAGGAGGAGGAAAAAGAATAATACTAATAATATTAAGAAGAAGACGAGGAGGAGGGCGAGGAGGACGCGGAGGACGAAGACGAGGAGGACGAGGAGGAGGAGAGACGAGGAGGAGGAGGAGAGAAGGAGGAGAGGAGGAGGGAGAGGAGGAGGAGGAGGAGAGGAGGACGAGGAGGAGGAGGAGGAGGAGGAGGAGGAGGAGGAGGAGGAGGAGGGAGTGAGGAGTGAGGAGTGGGAAATGAGAATTTCCAGGGAGACTCTGGCATTTATCCTTGTTTATTGGCCTCGGGGGTGGCCCTCGTCACCACAGCTGGATATGTTTCGAGATCTTGCTCAGGACGTCTTCTGAAAGAGGTCGGGAGGAAGAGGGGGGGGGAACTTCTGGAGAAGAAAAGAGGAGGAAGAGGAGAAGGAAAAGGAGGAAAAAGAGGAAGAGGAGGAGGAGGAGGAGGAAGAGGAGGAGGAGCAGGAGGAGGAGGAGGAGGAGAGCGTTGGAGGAGGGAGGAGGAGGAGGAGGAGGAGGAGGCGGAGGAGGCGGAGGAGGAGGGAGGAGGAGGAGGAGGATTTCAGGGGGATTTTGACATTTGTCATTGTGTATTCGCGTCAGGGGGGGGACCCTCGTCGCCACGGCTGGATCTGCCTCGAGATTTATGTGTTTTTGTTGTCAGAACGTCTTCTGAAAGAGGTCGGGGAGGGGGGTCTGAACGCCCTCAGAGGAGGTCGGGGGGAGGGGGGGGGGGGGAATTTCTGAGGAAGAGGAAAATGGAGGAGGGAGGGGGGAGGAGGGGGAGGAGGAGGAGGAGGAGGAGGAGAGGGAGGAGGAGGAGCAGGAGGAGGAGGAGGAGGAGGAGGAGGAGGAGGAAGAGGAGGTGGACGTCGCTTTCAGGTACGGCCGGTTTCCTTCCCATCTGCCGAATAAATCGACATATTGATTCGGCTCTGGTCGTCGTGTTTTTTTCTGTTGCTTCCTCTTGCGCAGCTGTCTCGCGCCGTCTGTGCGATTGCTTCAGTTGTCTCCCTTCCTCCTTTCCCCCTCTTCTCCATAGTGGTCGATTGTCGTGAGCGTGGTGATTATCTCCGCGTCTTCTGCGGCTCGTTCCCAAATAGCGCTTCGTTGTAGGGATGAAAGCAGTGATCAGACTACGGTCGGACCAAGGTATAATATCAAGGTCGGTACGGGGAGGGTACCCTAATGTTCTTCGTGTTTGCTGGATGTCCTTGTGCATCCACCGGGAGGGCAACCTCGAGCGATCTTATGGTTTGGGGTGTTTTGGCCGGCGGAGGGTCTCATGTTCTTGATCGGGTCAATGCAAACGGGGGTCAGCCAGAGCGCCGGATCTTGCAGGATCCTGCAGGGCCATAGGTTCATTGACCCGGGCTTGCGTGCAGGATCTTGCAGGATCCTACATTTGCAGGATCTTGCACGATCCTGCAATGCCTGACTGCCCAGGGCTTGGATTGACCCCCGGGTCAGTAGATCCCTGTCTTGAAGGATGTAGGTCCGACCGTAGCGTTTCGCTGCAGGGATGGATCCAGGAGCGTGTTTCTTTATCGCTTGGGGCATGATGGGCATTACAGCCCCTGGCCCCCCCTCCCCCCCCCCCCTATGACGTAACGCCCCTCCCCCCCCCCCAGTGCGCTCCGGGCACTGCCGCCGTGCGCACGGCGGGGGGAGGCGTTACATCATACGCCCCCCCTGGCCCCTGCCCGCCCCCCCCCTGTGATGCCCATCATCGCCGAGAATGGAACAACGCGCCACCGGGACGCCACGCCCAAAAAGTGGGCAGTCCGCAGGCGGAGGGCTGCCCCAGGCAGCGATGGGCAACCTCCGTATCTAGCGAGGCATTCTTGTTCCGTTGAGATAATCAAGAAATGCTCTGAGGACAATTTTTAAAACATATTTGTCCGACAATTTTTACGTAACAGCTCTTGCTGATAGGTTTCTAGTGGTCTCAAAATAGAGCGTCATGACTCCTCAGGGGGGTCTGGGCGGGACCCGGACAGGCTGCCGCCGCGGCTGCCGCCGCACTCGTTTTTCGCAAACAGTCACACACTTCGTGCTCTTCGACCTCCCAGAACTCCATTCCCGGGCCACATTTTGGATGCCCGGAGCCAACTGTAAGCCACTTCGTGCTCTTCGAGTTCCCAGAACTCCATTCCCGGGCCACATTTTGAATGCCCGGAGCCAACTGTAGGCCACTTCGTGCTCTTCGATTTCCCAGAACTCCATTCTCGGGCCACATTTTGGATGCCTGGAGCCAACTGTAAGCCACTTCGTGCTCTTCAGTTCCCAGAACTCCATTCCTTGGCATGATTTTGAATGCCCGGAGCCAACTGTAGGCCACTTCGTGTTCTTCTAGTTCCCAAAACTCCATTCCTGGGCCACATTTTGAATGCTGAGGCAGGCTGATGCTGCGGCCGAGGCAGGCTGAGGCTGAGGCAGGCTGAGGCTGAGGCCGAGGCTGAAGGCAGACTGAGGCTGAGGCTGAAGCAGACTGAGGCTGAGGCTGAGGCAGGCTGAGGCTGAGGCTGAAGCAGGCTGATGCTGAGGAGGCTGAGGCTGAGGCTGAGGCTGAGGCTGATGCAGGCTGAGGCTGAGGCAGGCTGAGGCTGAGGCCGAGGCTGAAGGCAGACTGAGGCTGAGGCTGAGGCTGAAGCAGGCTGAGGCTGAGGCTGAGGCTGAGGCTGAGGCTGAGGCTGTGACTGCGACTGCCGTTGCCGCTGCGACTGTCATCGCGAATGCGACTACGACTGCGAGAACAGCAGAATTCTACAACTGGATTTTCATCTGAATCTTAAGGGGCATGCTTTCAGATATGCTTCTACACATCGCTGTTAGGTTGCTTTGCCGGGATATTTGAAGTATGTTTTGACCATCTTTTATTTTTCGTCCAAAATCCCCCTGTAGGGGGACAGGCCCGACCTGATGTTAGGGATGGTGGTAGGCTCAGGGGGGGGTGGGGGGCGCATCGACCCCACACCGCCCAGCCATCGCCGATAGGGGCCCCGACGGCCCACCCCGCCGAGGACTCTGCGGACTCGCTACCGGGCGCCAATCGCCGACTTGTCGGAGATGTATCGCCGATTCCAGCTCGATGTTTCCCCCCCCGCCCCTGAGCTGGTTCCCCCCCCCCCCTCAGTTTGGGCCCTTTGAGACGTATTCACCATAATGTCTCGCACAGACATCTCGAACGGACCTGGGGACACTCCACTCCCGTGGACACGACCGAGGCCCGGAGGGCCCCTGGAGGCCGAAAATAGCGGAATTCCTCCCGTCGTGATTTGTTCACAGCGTGAGGAGGTTTGGGGAGGAAGCCGTGCGCCACGGCGTTCTGGCACGCTCTCGGAGCGTGCCCGAGGAGGTCTGCAGCGCCCCAGGCTCCGCCTGGCCTCTCGGTGGTTCCAGGCGCTCAGCTCTGCCCGGCCTTCTTCCTCCTCCTCCTCCTCCTCCATCCTCCTCCGCCTCCTCCTCCTCCTCCTCCCTCCCTACCTCCCTCCCTCCCTCCCTCCTCCCTCCCTCCTCCCCTCCCTCCCTCCCCTCCCTCCCTCCCTCCCTCCCTCCTTACACCTCCCTCCCTCCCTTCCCTCCCTCCCTCCTCCCCTCCTCCTCCTCCTCCTCCTCCTCCTCCTCCTCCTCCTCCTCCTCCTCCTCCTCCTCTCCTCCTCCTCCTCTCCTCCTCCTCCGCCTCCTCCTCCTCCTCTCCTCCTCCTCATCCTCCTCCTCCTCCTCCTCCTCCTCCTCCTCCCTTTCCTCCGCCTCCTCCTCCCTCTCCTCCTCCTCCTGTCTCCTCCCGTCCTCCCTCTTCTCCTCGTCCTCCATCCTCGTCCTCTCTCCTCCTCCTCCTCCTCCCCTTCCCTCTCCTCCTCCTCCTCCGACTCCTCCTCCTCCTCTCCCTCCTCCGCCTGCCTCCTCTCCTCTCCTCCACCTCCTCCTCCTCCTCCTCCTCCTCCTCCTCCTCCTCCTCCTCTTCCTGCCATCGTCCCTGAGGATGCGACTCCTGGGAGGTCAAATTCAGAATCGACGCTGGTATATGCCTGGTCGACTGGCCTATACTCCCGGTTGATCCCGTTTTAGCTGGCGCAATCCCGCTGAATCTGGCTCATTCCCATTTGATCCCGCTCAGTCTTGGGCTCAATCCGGCCTGGTCCGGCCCATTGGCTCCTGAATTGGATTGTATGCTACTCAATCCCCGTGTCGGAAACAATTAAGCAGCATTTACACATGAGATTTGGTTCGAATTCCCCCCCTTCCCCTGAATACAATGTTGGTTTCGGATTTGAGTTTCCGAGCTAGAGTGTTCAGGCGGTGCTGCGTAAACGTGCCAACGTTCACTCTTGCGAGGGAGAGGGGAAGGTGTTCCTGATTTTTGACCCTCAAACCGTCGTTCTGGCGAAGGTCTCCCAGGAGTTGCCTCCCAGCTTCTCGTTGCCCCCCGTCGACCAGAGAGCCGCCCGCCGTGGCGGACAGGCAAGCAGGCCCACGCCGACTGGGCGAGGCACTCCGCGGAGGGCGGCGTCCTCGCCGCCAGGCAGAAGGAGCGGGCACTGGCTCTGGCCGAGGCCAAGATCCGGAGGTTCCTGCCCCCGGAGGCCGAGGGGGCGGGGGGCGCGCCCCGCAGCCGTTGGGCGGCGACGCCCACGGCGACGGCGACGGCGGCGGCGGCGACCAGCGGCGACGACGAGGGAGGGCCGGCAGCAGGAGGAGGAGGAGGAGGAGGAGAGGAGGAGGAGGGAGGAGGAGAGGAGGAGGAGGAGGGGGAGGAGGTTCTTACCTCTGTTCTTACCTCTGGAGGTCAACGGGCGGGGGGCGCGCCTCGCAGCAGTTTTGGCTGTGGGCGGCGCCCACGGCGGCGGCGGCGACCAGCGGTGACGACGAGGGAGGACTGGCAGCAGGAGGAGGAGGAGGAGGAAGAGGAGGAGGAGGAGGAGAGGAGGAGGAGAGAGGAATGGGAGAGGAAGGAGGGAGAGGAGGAGGAGGAGGAGGAGGAGGAGGAGCAGAGGGAGGAGGAGGAGGAGGAATGGGAGGAGGAATGGGAGAAGGAGGATGAGGAGGAGGGAGGAGGAGAGCAGGAGGAGGAGCAGGAGCGAGAGGAGGAGGAGGAGGAGGAGGAGGAGGAGGAGGAGGAGGAGGAGGAGGAGGAGGAGGAAGAGGATGAGGAGAAGGACGACGACGACGACGACGACGACGACGACGACGACGACGACGACGACGACGACGACGACGACGACGACGACGACGACGACGAGGGGGGGGAGGAGGAGCAGGAGCGGGAGGAGCACGGTGAGGCGGTGAGGCGGAGGAGGAGGAGGCTGGCCCAGGGCAGCGCCCCTCCACCTTCTGAGGCCGAGCCGATGGACCGCTTCCCCTCTCGGACCAAAAGGCTCGCCACCCGCTACTACACGAAGATGAAGAAGCAGTGGTTCGCGCCTTGGCGCCCAGGCGAGCTGACAAAGGACATGAGGACGCTCGTCGCCGACAGGACTCTCCCTCCACAACTTCCTCCTCCTCCTCCTCCTCCTCCTCCTCCTCCTCCTCCTCCTCCTCCTCCTCCTCCTCCTCCTCCTCCTCTTCCTCTGGGGAGCGCCTGAAACGTTCCAGGAGTGCTCTGGAGCGTTCCGGACAGCGCGGGAACGCATGGGAGTGCTTGGGGCTCCCTGTGGGAAGTGCTCAGACGCTCCTGGTCCTCCAGAGGCATTCTGGAACCTCGACGAGCCTCGATTACTGGAGGCGGCCGCGCAGGTCACCAGAGGCCTCCATCTGGCCCTGCCTGCGATACGGGGCCGGACAAGTGCTCGCTCCTCCTGGCCCTTCATTGACTACACGTACGAGTGACCTTTCGCCGGAGTGACCTTTGGTTCGGGGGGTCCCCCCGATGGCTGAGCGCGATGCGATAGCGGTTGACTGCGCGCTTGGATTTGGCCACATTGCGCCCCCGTAATCCGCGCACCAGACGTCACTCTTGCTTGGGGTCGGTCATGCGTGTAGCCGAGCCCCTCCTCCCTTCTCGGCACCCCCTGGCCTCCCTCCCCCGTCCTTCCTGCCCGCTCCGGCTCGCTCGGCTCGAGCGTGAACGACCGAGCCAGCCCAGTGCCTCCACGCTGCGCCCTGCTCTCCCCGCTTCGGCGGCGCTCAGGAAGGGGGCGGGGCCGGGGGGGGAGAGCCTGCGGGGGGGGGCCTCCCAGGAAGGCAGGGCGCTGCTCGCAGGGCCTTGGACGTTTCCAAGATGGCCTCAGAGGCCTCCGAGCCCTCTGAGAGACCCCCTGGGCTTGCCCAGGGGCCCGGACCCCCTCGCGCCGCCCCCTTCCGCCGCGCTGCCCACCTCCGTCAGCGATGTTCCGCACCGCCTGCATGAGCGCCGGCGTTGCTGCGGCCTCGGCCTTCGTCGGCGCCTGGGGCGCGCCAGCTGTGCCCCTGCGCCGACCCGGGCACGCCCCACCTGGGCCCAGCATCGGTGCCTGCGCCCTCCCTGGCCCGGCCAGCTGAGGGCACACGCGCCGACCCGCCGGGCCACCCCAGGGGCGCGGAGGCAGCCGCGCCCGCGCCGCGGCCTCGGTCGGGCAGCTGCCCTCGTCTGAGGCGGCCGTGCGGGGGCGCCAAGATAGCCGCGCATCGCTGGACGCGATGCGGCGTTGGGGGGGGGGGCCTGGGCGCGCCCTCCCTGGCCAGGCCAGAGGCCGCACTCACCGGTCCTGGACCAAGCAGGGGCCTGGCCGGGAGCCCAGCGCAGGCGTGCAGCTGGCGCCCTCTGCAGGCCCCGCGCCTGGCGGCGTCGTGGGCAGCGCCGCGCCCGCGCAGCGCTTCCTGGCGCCAGAGGCGGTCACCGCCGCCGCTGCCCGCGCCACCGCCGTCGCCGCCGTCGCAGCCGCAGTCGCCGCCGCCGCCGCCGCCGCAGCCGCCGCACCGCCGCAGTCGCCGCGCCGCAGTCGCCGCAGTGGCCGCCGCCGCCGCGGCCGCGCTGCCCGGCGCCCGAGGCGGGCCGTGCCGAGCGGCCCGCCAGCCTCGCGCCGGCACGCCCTCGCTGCGGGCGCGTGCGCCGGGCCACTGCGCCGTGCGGCGCGCGCCGAGCGCCGCCGCCCGCGCGCGCGGGCGGCGGTCGCCTGCCGCGCCGAGGATCGTGGCGCGGTCGTCGTCGTCGCCGTCGTCGTCGTCGTCGTCGCCGTCGTCGCCGTCGTCTGCCGCGCTGTCAACTTCTTAGTTTTTTGCTCGTGGGGCACAGTCAACCGACGCCCCTGCCGAATTGAGAAGCGATGCGCTGAATATTTGATTTGCACGGTAATCGTCGGCCAATGTCCCGCCAAGCTCAATCATGCCAAACAGATGCTATCATTCAGTGGGTGTAGAACGCGCAACGCCTCCGCCGGATGAAGTATATCAGGGTCAAAGGTTCACTTCCGGGACCTTTGTGCGCGGCTTCTTCGCCAAATGTCAGCTCGCGGCAAACAAGAGCATGGCAGCATTGCTAGAACACACTGGGCGCTGGCCGAAACTCAGCGGAGGGCGTTTCGGGGTCCATTTCGATCCGATCGATCCGCTTCGATATTGGATCCAGCCCGCCGGTTTGATTCGAGTCCAGCTTTCGGGCGACCCGATGCGGCCCACTGCTTGCATGGCGCAGTTGTGCATCCTGGCGCTGCCGGTCCGATTCTATTCCCATTCAGAGCCGATGCGGCCCGATTTGATGCGCGTTCCGATTCGATCAGATTTTCCGATGCGATCTTGGTTGTTCCTTTTTCTTAGTTATTCGCTTCGCTCACTCCGCAGGCCAATTTCGCATCACTCTGGCTGCGTGGTGGTGTGCTCGTGCCCAGGGAGAACGGTGGGGCAGGCAGGACGGTCTTCGAGGAGATCTTTGGAGATGTGGCTCGCTCTCTGTCGAAGAGAGCCGATCGACTGCCCCAGAGAGCGCCAAGATAGCTCCAGAGAGCTCCAGCAGAGTTTCGAGGCGTACATGGGTTGTGGGTCAACGTCCTCATGGATGCTTCTTGGGGTCTTTTCGGAGGGAGCCTCTGGGGAGCAGTTTTGAGGCCGCTGGGGGCTTCTTGGGGGCCTCTTGGGGCTTCCTCGGGACCTGTTGGGAGTATTGGGGGCCTATTTTGGGGCCTCTTGGGGGCCTCTTGGGGCCTCTTGGAGGGCTCTTGGGGGCCTCTGGGGGCTTCCTGGGCGCCTCTTGGGGCCGAGAGCTTGAAATGTCCGTTCGGGTCCCCCTGGGGAGCCTCTTCGGCCCTCTTCGAGGCCTCTGGGGCTTTCTTGGGGCCCTCTGGGGCCATTTTGGGTGCCCTTGGAGGCCTCTTGGGTTGTGTTTGAGCGATCCTGGAAGCCTCTTAGGCCGTCTGACAGCCTCGGTGACCTCCCAAGGCGACAACGCCAAAATCTTTGATTTTTCATGGAAATCTCTGATTTCTGCTTCTGTGGGCCCTCATGGGAGGTCTCTTGGAGCCCTCTTGGGGCGTCTTGAAGGCGCTTTGGGCTGGCTGGAGGCCATCTTTGGTGTCTTGGATCGCTCGTAGACCGTCTCGGACCATGTTGAGCTCTCTTGGAGGCCACTTGAAGCGCTCCTGGAGCGCTCTTGGGAGCCTGCTGGTACCTGCTCGGGACCTGCTCGGGACCTTGCCGGGGTACTTTTCGTCCAGGGACCCCCAGGGGCGGCCTCGCGCGCGCGAACTGGAATTGTTGTAGGTAAACCAGTAGCCAGAGATCTCAGCACGCCCTTGGCCGGTTGGGCCGGCGAATTCTGTCAACCACAGCTGGCCTTTGGGAGCCCCTCGTCGTCACGGCTGGACGCAGTTCGGAGCATCGGTGCGTTTGGTCCCTGGGATTAAGTTGGGCACGCCCCTCGGGAAACATACTTCATAATAGTAGAAAAATAGTCGGGGGACGTTTTTTAGTATTTCTTTGTTTTGAATATTTTGAGGGTATTTTTGAATTTTCGCCCAAAATTCCCATGTAGGGGGACATGCCCGACCTAACCCTGGGAAGCGTCCGGGGCCGATTTTGAATTCCGTTGTCTCAACTCGCCCTGCTCCGAGAAGCATCGGTCATCGGATCGTCGGCCGATTGCCACCGTGATCGGCGAGTCGGGTCATGGGGTCACTGGGGATGCCGTGTGGTCGGCGTTTTGAGGGAGAGACGCGCGGATGTCGACCAGATTTTGGGCCCCAGACGGGCCCGAAACCTTTGTGTTCCCCGCGTTCACCCTCTGCGAGCGACGCCGACGTCGAACAGTTCAGGCTTCTGCCCGCGCATCCGTGCTCACCGCGTCGGAGTCGTGCCGCACGGGCCTCGAGAGTAGCGGTGGGTGTGGGCATTTGCCCGCCTCCCCGAGCGGGCAGGTAAAGACAAGACGTTGAGATGAGGACCGCTGCGGATTCGGGAGGGGCTCTGGTCATCGCCAAGGGGGAAAAACCCACCCAGACCCGGACAATTGGCGTTCAGTGAGCAGCCCTGGGCGTTTACTGAGCAGCCCTACCCTGCTCGATTCCTTCCTTGGGTGCGTTGGCTAAACGGCTTTTCTTGCCGGGGTGCTTACAGTGGGGGCCCATGCCAAGAAACACCCTGCTTGCCTCCAGGGTGCCCTGGGTTTCTTGGGTTTCAATGGTTTTGCGATGGAAAGCGTGAAAGCGTGACGTTCACACACCCACCCACACACACACACACTCACACTGCCCTCGATTTCGGGCCGTTCCTTAGGCCAAGGTCGGGGGACCTCTCCATGGCCGAGGCTCGCTGCGGTCAGGAGAGCCCCTTCGTTCCTCATCTGGCGTTCCTTGTGGCAGCACGATGACTGTATCCCCGTCGACCGCTCCACAGGTGCCCCAGGGCCCCACTGCTTCAGCAAGAACAGTGCATCCATCATCATCATCAGCAGCAGCAGCATCATCATCATCAGCATCATCATCAGCATCAGCATCATCATTATCCCCATCATCATCATCATCATCATCATCATCATCATCATCATCATCATCATCATCATCATCATCATCATCATCATCATCATCATCATCGTCATTATCATCATCAGCATCGTCATCAGCAGCATCATCATCATCGACTCCACAATAGTGTGGATGTGGACGCTTCCTGGCCGCGTCGAGGAGCCCGACACCGAGGCGCTCGCGAAGCAGGTGGCAACACATGCCAAAATGGGCCGCGAGGATCGCAGAGGGTTCTGTTTCGGGAATTCTATTTGGCTTCTTGGCCCTCTGGTGACCTCCGATCCCTATCCCCGATGGGCCATGGTACCTAAGCCCTAACACCGCACCGCCCAAGTTGGGGATGTACACCTCGGAACACGAAGGGAACAGCCTATATCTCCATTGTACATCGGCCAGTGGGGCTCAGGCCACGCCAGTGGGGATAGGGATCGGTGGAACGCCGCTCCATGAAGCGCCTCGCCGCCGCGGCTGCATCCCCAGGAAATCTTGTCAAACCGCAGGTCCCGGGGCAGATTTCTCATCAAGCCGCAGGTCTCGGGGCAGATTTCTCCGGGGGAGGACGGGGTCGGGGCCCACGGCTTCTGCGCCGCTCGCCTGCCCCCCCCCCAGGCCCGCCAGGCAGCGGCCGAGAGGCGAGCCCTGGCAACTAAACAATATTTTGATACATTATTACTAGGTTGTATTAATTGTGATTTAGGATTGTATTATATGGTTCAACTGAAATCAAAGATAAACGATTATGGGCGGCCACGGCCCCCGGCCCCGTCTTCCCCGCCAGGGGCCCCGTGCCCTCGCGCCAGAGGTGGCGGCCAGCGCCGCCGCCACGGTGGTCGCCGTCAGCGCCGCGGCGGCGCCCGCGTCCGCCTACCCGATCTTCGCGCAGCAGAACTACCCGAACCCCCGGGAGGCCACCGGCAAGATCGCCTGCGCCAACTGCCACCTCCAGGGCAAGTACATCGAGGTCAAGATGCCCCACGAGGTCCTCCCCGACACGATCTTCAAGACGCTCATCGAGCTCCCGCTCAAGTACGAGAAGAGGGTCCAGCCGATCGCCGACGGCTCCAAGGCCAGCCTGAACGCTGGCGCGATCGCCATCATGCCCGAGGGCTGGAAGCTGGCACCCAAGGACAGGCTCCCCAAGGCGCTGAAGAAGCAGATGAAGGGGCTCGCATGGTCGCCTTACAGCAAGGACAAGCCCAACATCGTCGTCGCGGGGCCGGTGCCTGGGAAGATCTACGAGACGATGGTGCTCCCGATCCTCGCCCCCGACCCCAACAAGACCCCCGAGATCGTGTTCAACAAGTACGAGTTCTACTTTGGGGGCAACCGTGGGCGCGGGCAGGTCTACCCCGAGGGCAACCTCAGCAACGTCAACATGTACACCGCGGCAGCTGAGGGCACCGTGACCGAGATCATCCCGGGCGAGAAGGTGGTCATCACAAAGGCGGATGGCACGGCGGTGGACTCGGTGATTGGCAAGGGGGCCACGGTCGTCGTCGAGGTTGGTGAGAGCGTGAAGAAGGACGAGCAGATCACCACGAACCCCAATGTGGGCGGCTTCGGACAGGAGGACAAGGAGGTCACTCTGCAGGACATGAATCGGGTGTACGCGTACTGCGGCCTCTCCATTTCGATCTTCCTTGCCCAGCTGGTTTTCGTTTTGAAGAAGAAGCAGTTCGAGAAGGTTCAGCTTGCGGAGGGCTTCTGAGCAGTACTCCCCCTCGTCGTGCGAGAGGTTTTTAGTGCGCGGCCAGAATCTCGACCCCCGACGGCCACTGCTGCCGGCCACCAATTCTTCGTAGCGTCCGATGGCCCATGGGCCAGCCCACCACAGTCGTGAGCTGACCGCAGTTGCCTGGGCTACTTGACCAGTCGTCAGACCGTTGCTGGCCGTCTTTTCTGGGCCCGCCAAACCTCATCCGCAGCATCGCCTCGGCCTCGGATGCGCCGGGGAGCTGCCACCGGAGATCGAGCGGCTGGCCGCCCGTCTCTGCTCGATCGGTGGAGCCGGGCGCTCCAGTGCGGACTTCGGGGACCGGCCACAACGATGTTCGGTTAGGTCTTGGCCCTCGTTCTGTTTTTCGTTATGTTTTCGTTGTGTGGTTCGCTCTTGTCTTAAGATGCGTCTGGAGTTTGAGCGTGTTTGTTGCGCGCGTGTCGTTGTCCGTTTTGTTTCGCCGCGAGTCCGAGGTTGCGTTTCGAGAGCA